AAACCGTTGGCAATAGTTCTTACTCCAATTTGGCTTTGATTATTGATAGATATATTTAATGTTTATTTTTAATTGTTTATAATTCAGCAATTTATGTAAGTGTAAAGTCTTGTTCATTCGCTTTTGGTTTTAGTTTTGGTTTTGTGCGTTCGGTCTTGGTCTTGATCTTGCTAGTATAAAGCCAGTCTTGGTCTTCGTCTTGGTTTTGCATTTTCGCAAGACCAAGACCAAGACTGTAAGACCTAGACTAATTTTGCTATTTACATTAAATATTTGTGCAATTAATTTTCAGTGTAGTCCAAAACTGATGGAGTTTGAACTTGGTAATTAAGAGTAAGTAGATACCTACAGGGCTTTAAAGTCTTTATCTTCAAAGAGCTGTCTGAACTAAATTACATACATACTTAACACATGTATTTCGGAGGAATCCTTTGTATTTAGTTAAGCGATTTGTATTTTTTTTAGATCCGATAATAATCACAATTCATCGGAACACATGTCTCGACTTCGTAGCTATTAATCTACAAAAGAAATGACGCCGACAAAAAATTCCTCTACCATTTTTGTCGTAACGAGTATGGTCACACTGAAAAAGGAAATCACCAAAATATGGAAATGCGCCATTCTCATCGATCAGAGCGATTTATCGATTGTTATCAATCCGCTAACTGCCTTGTTGTTTACGCAAGATAATTGCTTTGTAGGCGCCAAAGTCAATTGAGAAGCGTTAAAGCCACATTTTCAGTTATTTACGAACGTTGGAACACGCGATACTGTTATTTTTTTGTTAACAACCCATGATTTTGTAATTTACGCGTTTGAAATTACAAATATACCCATACAACAAAACAGAGTGCCGCCAACGTCTCGATAATTATAATATTCTTCAAACCTTTTGTTTAGTACTTTATCAAAATCAAGATTGTTATTTAAACCAAATAAACGCAACGTTCTTTGGATGTAAACCCGAGTAAAAATAAAAAGAAATATAAACTCCAAATATCTGAAATGACCTAAATTACCACCGAAATAGCTCCTACAAATTAATCGAAAATTTAAATTCTAAAATTATAGCCAAAATACTACCCTTTGAAACTATAAAACAGCTCTAAACTAGCACCACATTAAAAAAAAAAGATCCAAAAGAGCCCTTAAACAGCGCCTCGCCAAAAAACACTCTAAGAGTACCAAAACAGCATCACATACAAAATCATCTAAAACAGCACCAAATCAAAATCAAAAATCAGTGTAATATTGATTAGAGTTTATTAATTACAGTATGAATGTATATCTATATATATTCAAATTTTAGTATCCCTTTAGTGCTGTTTCGGCGTTTTTTTTAGTATAAATGCGTCGCTCTTTCGGTGGTATTTCAGTAGTTTTCTGGAAATCAATCGGTGCTGTATCCGTGTACTTTTCGTACTAAATGCGGTACTGTTTCAGTACTCCATACGTACACAATCGGCGGTTTAGTCCTGCAAATGGACCTTTTCTGGTAATACTTTAGAGAAATTTATGGAGTTAGTTTGGTCGTAATTCGGTAGAGTGAAATTGAAAAAAATAATTTTTACTTGGGAAGTTAGTGAATCTATTCAACTGTTTGATTTAATTCAATTTTTTTTAAAGTTATGATCGTCTGATGTGATTCTTAGTTTGACGAAGGACAATGCTTTAGAACTATAATCTTTTTCAAATAGAATTTCGGCGAACTGAGGTCTTGGACCATGAATAAATTATATTTTAGATTTTGCTTTCAAACTATACATATGTATACATATATCGTACAGTAGTATGTTCTGTTTCTTGACAGACAACGTTGGGAATACCCGCCTTTTCAGTTCGAACCCCCTGGTACAGAAGCAGCTGCATGATTAATGGTATCGTTTGAAAACATCTGTTATAAGAGGGATTAACCTAACATACGCATATGTGGTACTTTACATACGTATATTTCAGTATTTGGAATCAAACGGTTTATACCACTTTAATATGGTAAAGATCGCATTAAATTGAGATGTTTATCAAATTTATTTTTCTTGAACTTCATACGATTGGTAACAAATGAAAAAGATTTTATTTGGATACTGCCTCACACGTTTCCAAAATTAAATAATATATCTTTTTGCTTTCCCTGACTTATTATCCTTACATAGACTATCTCGCTAAATACAGTTAATCATTTTAAAAAATCCCTAATTGCACGGTATGCTATAAGGACTACTAAAATTTCCCTTTATGAGAACCAGGCTTTTTAGGCTCTCCCCGTTTGACGCATAACATAATTGGTACACACTTTTTGGAAAAGTTTCCCTCAATGTTTACGCCTTTTAAAACAATTCCCGTAATTTTACTATCTATCATTAAGAATTCCTTTTGTTGGAAACTTATAAAAGGCTTTTTATAATAAGTACTTGCCTAAAGTTTGGCGAATAACTTTTATGAACTATTACACTGGGAATTTCACAGCTGTTGGTAGTGAAGTTCAATCAGCCAGAAAAACAAACGCTTCAGCAAATAATTTAAATCCTGAATTGTTCTTTTTTTGTATAAACATTGGAATTTGTTGACTCGAATTTATTGAATTTTTTGCTGGCAATTCAATCTCAATCACTTACATTCTATTTCAAATCTGGAACTGAATTGCATGTGTCAAATTCCAAATTCTAATATCGACTGTAAATAAGTATCGAATTTTAGTTTTTCTGATCCCGAAGGTTTGAAACCACCCCTCCCTCCGTAGTTCTGCCATTTTAGAAACAGATACAGCTCAGTTTCAAATAATTTATTACATCTCTGCCTTTTTAACCATAATTTAAAAATAATTGTGAGACATGACAAGTCCTTTTTTATCCATATGCTCCACAATTCTTTCAAATTGTTTGAATAAATGATAATTATAATTACGATTCAGGCATGAAGGTCTAGTCAGAGACATATTAGAGGCAGAAACAGGAGTTAGGAGGGGTAGAGGTAGACCTAGNCATTCGGTAAATCGTACCACTATCTCTCCAAATCGTACTTAGAACTTGTTTTATGGAAGAAACTAAATGTTTATTTGCAATTAACATAAATATATTTTTTAAAGATTTCCCAGAACCTGCATGGCTTTCATGGACCCACAGCTTGCAAGTTTGGCACTGCACTCTATCCTCAATAGCAGTATTTTCGCATACTAGGCAATACCAATCTTTACTGTTTAGTTCTATTTGAATTGTTTTTGGTCGAGACGCTTTGCTTATTGAATCCCGAATTGATCTAGCAATAGATACTTTCTGTGGTAGTCTCAAAGACAAAAAGGGATGCCGTTTCATAAAATTGTAAAACCAATTTTTCCGACCTAGTCATATGTTTCTCTGTTGAAAGTACGTGGAATAGTTCTTTTCAGCAACTTGAAATGTCAGGCGACGAACATCTGTAGGTGTTGTCCCAAACAGAGAAGCTTCTAAACACAGAAACTTCTAATTTTATAAGATGTTGTGCCAATCCTTGTCCTAGTGCAGGTTTTTTTCGTTGGCTACTTTGTTTAGTGAACGCAAATTAGGGTACTTCCTTTTGTTTGCCACTACAGTTTTATATTATACCTATGTACAACAACAGTCTGATAAATCAAATGCGATATGTGCTATTTTTAAGACAACCGGTATTAATGAGTTTAATATTAAATAACAGACCGTTGGGCCCTACAAGAAATGTTTTCAATTCTAATTTAATATAAAAACACATAAACACAAGTATTAGGCCGGTAAATCGTACCGGTACGATTTAACAAAGTTTGTCGGTACGATTTATCGGACTTCTACGTTTTGTTTTCTTAGTTAGAACAAAACATTTGTAGAGCATATTTTAATCTTCTTTTAGTGTGTGGTTGACAATAAATTGCTATTAAATCAGTGCATACTAAAATACATCGTGTTGTACTTATCTAGTATTAAATAAAGCCTTAGACACGACAAGGAAATATTACACCCGTAAACTGCCTTTTTCATTATCCATCGTATTCGTAAATACAACCGTCATTCCAAAAAACACGACATCTACATTAATTTGTATTGAATAATAGGTTTTAAGTTTGAACACAAGATAGCACAATATGCATCCTAAATATGAAAAGTAACGGTGGTACGATTTAGATTATGGTACGATTTACCCAACCTTACCCTAAGTACAATATAAATCTCGAACATTAAGAACGCGTTGTGAGCGTTCAACAATTGACAAAAGGCGTTCCGGCTGTTTAACAGTTACCAGAACGCGTTGCGAACGTTTAAAAACAGCCAAAACGCGTTCTGTGCGTTCGAAAGCAGCCAGAACGCGATGTGGTCGTTTTTTTCGGCCACTGAGCGTTTTCGGTCTTCGGGCCTAACATATACAACATTCACAGCTTTTCTGTCATTAGACAATACAAATCGGCCTCCCAACTATTACCGCCACAACCGCTATGTCCCTGCATTTTACGTCTGTAATATCTTCAAAAATATTCATTTAAATTTCATGCTGTAAAGGGCCATATTGATCAATATTAAATGCACAATGTATTTAAAAGTACTTAATTGGATAAGGATTAATGCTTAAATCGTAAATAAGCCATTATTTCTCATAAAAAGTAAAGCATAAAAAATGGTTATTGCGGATTATCCCTAAGAGATAGACATATACCATCACGGGCTTTTTGTGGGCCTTTTTAAGATGTACAATACTGTAGTACATTATTTTGATCTATCTCGTAAGTTCAGCCAGCGTTTGCAATGTAAGCGCAAAAAATGTGTTTATTTACGACATCACATTACAAACCTCTAAAATTATCAATGTTTCTCTAGTATATTATGCATGTATTTTACATATAAACCTTCTTCTTGAATTACTCTATCTATTAAAAAAGACGCATCAAAATCCGTTGCGTAGTTTTAAACATCTAAGCATACATAGGGACAGGCAGCGGGAAGCGACTTTGTTTTATACTATGTAGTGATTACAAAAATACCAAAAACTTTGGGGGTTTTGCCAGAGTCAAGGTAAGTTTGTGGTTATATCACAAAAAAAAATATTTTTTTTGCGATTATAAATTTATACAAAACCTTCGGTGTGTGAGTTCTACTTGCACTTGGCCGTTTTGTTTTAAACTTTTGCGACACCTACTAAAACTATTAAGGAATGAAAAATTAAATTGTCTCAAATACATATGCTTCAGTTGAAGGACAGGAATGGGGGGGAAGCATGTGTATAATAAGACAAAACTTACAGGATCCGGTAACAAAACAAAGGAAGGTGGGTTCGCGAAAGTGCGAAGCGTTGGGGATGTAATTTGGCACTTTTTTTGTTTTCCTTTTGTGCTCCATCTGTGCTAACAAATAGCGACGAAAGTGGCACGACGATAGTCGACAGATTACGATTTGGGACGTGCCATGCCAACACTCAGCGCCCAGCGCCGTTTTGCCATCCACCAACCACCCCAAAAACGACGCTACCAGCATAGCACAGTACAGTCGGATTTTAGAAACGAAAACGCGACGTTCGTTTTACGCTATCGACGCGACGCTCTCAGGGGTTGGCACGTCGAAGTTGCGCAAAAAGTTTTCTTTGAAAAATTATATTTTTACTAACATAATTATTAATAAGAGTAGGTCATTTTGCACATTTATATAGAATCTTAATCAACTTTCGACTTTTACATTCACTATGATTATTGCTCGAAAAATAAGTTTATTATTTGTCATTGTTTGTATAAAGGACAACATAAGTGCAGAATATGATAACAGCTGGATAGCTTACAAAGAGCAACCGTGTTGTTTGAAAACAGAATCACATCATGTAAGACATGGAAAGGGTAAGTTTTACAATTAGTGAGGGTATAATTGTGAAAACAGAAACGAAATAAACAAGTAAGGGCTGCCAGAACCACGTTTCCCTAAAAACTATATTCTATAGTTGTATCCAGCTTTAAGGGGACCCCGAAAACTTTTGGAATATGTATTTACATTTATTACTCCTTCTTAATTTATTTCCAATAAACAAATGCTCACGCGTTTGTGAATGAAGGAAGTAACAATAAGAATAATATATGACTTAATTATGAAAGTAAAATAGAGTTGCTTGGCATTTACCTTTTAGTTCATCATTCAACTTCAACTAACACAAATTTAGTTTTTTACTTTTTCAATCTGATTCAACAAATTTAAAATGAAATTAACATCAACCATCATCTTTTTCGGAAGTGAACGAAACCAGTTGGATGTTGTTTTAATTGACAATAAAGGTTGACCTAATTCTACCTGCAATAAAGAAAGCGCCTTCGAATTGGTTAATTATATTTAAATATTTAATTACCATTATTAATTCATAAATATCGTTAAAGCAACAGGGGGTAGTTTTTTCAGCAAAGGTGGTTTAATAACTGTATTGTTTACACTATGCTGTAAGAAATTAAAAACAATGCATTTCTGCAAGATACTTTTGCTACGATAGTTTTTGAATTTTGTACGTCGTTCGTATAAAGCATGGTTCATTTGAGTCTCTTGTTTGATCATTAACGTTCATTTTGTCACTTCTTGCTAATGGCGAAGGGACTAAGAAAGGGATGGTTAAAAGTTTTAAATTGCACTACTACTAACAACTGCTTTAGAATTTTGAAAAGTCAGTCACCGCTTCGAAATTACTCTGGCGTAGTGGCATCAATCCTTCCGTTTTTTGTTATATTAAATTAAGCCTTTTCATGGCGAAATTGAAAAATGGAAGGAGAATAAGAATGGACAATCAAAGGCAGTAATTGATTCAGTTGTAACGCTCGAGGTTCTATTGAAATCGAAAAACCAAGAATATCCAGAATAATAATTTAATAAAGTTTCTTTCGAAGATCATCGCGCTATAGCATAAAACGATACTACCGATGTTTTTCATCATCATATATTAATACCATATCATGACTTATGGTCGTCAATCCTAAGACTGGTTGGACACGTACCTTCACTCTTTCCTGTCCTGGGCTAAACTTCGCATTTCCCTAAAACTAGAACAACCTACATCCTTAACCATTTGCGAACAGTAATCTAACCTAAGTCTACCTCTACCTCTCCTAACTCCTGTTTCTGCCTCTAATATGTCTCTAACTAGACCTTTATGCCTGAGAAGGTGTCCTACTAACCTATCTCGCCTATTTCTTATTGACTTCCATAGAGTCCTCTGGTAAAAAAATATCGATACCTTTCCGGTATTGAATGGCAAGCAACGATACCCAGATGGTTATCGATACTTTTACTTGGTGGTAGTATCGAAAAAATGATTGATACCTTGAATGGCAAGTTGTGATATCTACATAGTTATCGTTATCGATACTTTTTTAGTTGTAGCTAGCGAAATAGAAGTAAATAATAAATTTTTGCGGTAGCGGATGCGGAAACGGAAGTGTAATAATTTTAGGTAACACTTTAATGCATACAAATTTTGCATTTAGCACTTGCATCGTTAATATCAACAAAACAATCCCAAATAGAATTTGTTTTTGGCTTCAAAATTGCACTTTTAACTTAAAATTTACACCACTCCGCAAACTCTATACAAAATAAATAAACGCTATAACTGTATTAGTATTTTCGAAATGAAATTATTAAGAAAAGTGGCTAAGGGGGAACTGAAAGTCCTGGACGTTTTTAAGTAAAAGTAAGAAACTAATAAGAGAATAAAATTTGGAAAATATAAACATACGAAGTACTAGAAATAGGTTTAGGCCTTAAACTAAAATAAAGTTATTTGCATAGGGACAATCTTATTATTAACAAAATTTTGCCAGTTATAACGCGGCATTGACGCTAATACTTTATAAACATAAACGGTTGATAATAATACGTCCACAATGTTACAACGGGGTTGCTGAAAGTTGGCGCAGGTACCTGCACAACATGCAGTTTTGCAACGAACAATTCCATTTAAATTGTGTTTTGAAAACGGTCAAGTTCAGCCAACAGATAAAAGTAATAAATTTTTACGACTATTTATAAAAATGCGGAACCAGATGCAGAAGCGGATGTAAAAATGTATGCGGAAGCGGAGACAGAGTTGCAATACTATTGGTAGCTGTATTGAAAGAAAGAATTGATCTTCTAGGTATCGAATATTTCTCAAAATTTAAACGCGAGTGTAAAAACTTTGTGCATGCTTTTGTTGTTTCCTTTCTACCTAAATTCCTTGTTGCCTCTACCTAGAAATGTATCTTCACCTATACCTGCATAGACCCCTTATAACACTAAACTCTAAACTGTTTATTTCTATTACGTCTAAACTCCTGTTTTACTGTTCTTTTGTTCCTATTGACTCTTTAATATCAATTCTGTCTTATAAGATCTGCATCTTTCTCTGCTCTGCCATCAGTTTTTAATGTTAAATAAATGAAATAATTTTCTCAATTGACAAATAACTAAATGATTATTATTTATTTTTATTTCTTTTCAAGGTAGGTTTTTAAGTTACACAACGTACTTCGAAAAAGTCCACAATTTAGGGCGAAACGTCGATTCGGTTTTGAAGTAATAAATAACAAACATTTTCACCTTGACTACCTCAGATTCTTCATTCATTGTTGAATAAGGGGAAAATATGAATACTTTGCTAAAAATTTATACTTGTCGTTACTTAGGTACTCTATTCATTAAAACCTTATAAGAATCGTGACTAGATGAGGAATTAGTTTATTGATCTCGTCGGATAAAACTTTTGAGAACAATTAAAGCGGACTTACTTACTCCTTACCTTATAAATAGGATACCCAGATTGTCCAAAATCCCTTTCCTAATTGAGTCTGATGATATCTGCAACGAAAGAAACCATAGTAGATTAACAGCATCCACATTGTGAAAGAAGTTGATAACTAGTTCTATATTATGGTATATTTCAAACGAGTTAGACAGCCAAATATTATTTGAATTTTTTTTTACTGTTTCGTCATTTTATTGCAGCTTCCTCAGCAATTATTTCAATTCATTCTACATATGGTTATATAACCCATATTTAAATTAATTGGTCAACAGTAATTGTTTATCAATAAACATTTGTATTTATGGTACGAACTGACAGTGTTATCACAACAACCTTTTAACCTTTCGGGTAAGGAGCCCTAAGGATAAATTGGAGGAAAAATACTTGCACAAGATACGCAGTCTAAAATGAAAGGGATTCCAACAATGTACAGGTCTGACGAAGGAAGCTGGCGAGCGGTCGCGCAGGTACTTGCCCATTTATGACCTATTGGGGTAAGTCACTTGGAACCTATACACAAATAAGCTTTCAGTAGGCGTAAATTGTAGTATTAATACAGATAGGACAGTAGGGTACTAGAAAATAATGTAAAAACATGACTTATTAAAAAAGAAAAAATTAACCTATTGCTTTTGTTTTATAGTTAGTTTTCACATTCACTCTCATCATGGAAATCTCTATCACTGTCACCAACATCAGCAATTAGTTCTTCTATTTGCCTGTCTATTACTTGCTACCTGATCCCTACTTTTAAATATTTAATCTACGCCCCTGATAGGAATACTGAAGAATGAGGGCTGCAATCTTTATACCTAAAACTGCCTACTTTTGCCACCGCGCATCCACGCCATTTTAANATGTGATTAATGCCAACGTTGCAAAATTTCGTAAAATTTTACATTTGTAGTTTGAATGTATGGGAAAACATGTTCTTTTTCGACTACAATGTTAAGTTGGTTCTCGGGTTAGGATTTCGTACGTCCGAATGAGAAACAGAACCTTTATAAGTTCACTCATGTGTCTTTCCGTCCGTTTTTTTTTGATTCAACTGGGTTTCAAATTGAGGTATACCTTACAGCTCCTTTAAAATTTTAGTTTCCAAATCATTAGGTGTATAAAACTACTTGTATAAAATCATTTTTATACGGTTTTTTATAATAAACACAGTATAAATCGAAAATGGTAAGGGACTTCCACCCTCACCACTTAACCACTATTTTGCACCACAGGATAGCATTAGTATTAGCTGGTGGAAATACAATTTAATACAGATTCTTTTTTTAGAGATAGACACTTGCTAGGCTTTCGTCGTAATTCGATGTAGGTACCTACGCTCTATCAACATCTATAGGTAGGTTGACCGACTATAATAAACTTAATTGAATTCTTTTTTTAGAATATCTTCTTACTTTGCGCTTCGCGATTCATTTTCTAAATTAGAAAATACGGATTTTCTAAATTATAAAGAACTAGCGACCCGCCCCAGCTTCGCACGGGTGCAATGTCAGTTGTTTAGTCAATGACAGACTGATCTTCTCGCTACACTCACGAGAACTGTACTGATTTTTCATGAAGTCAAGTTAGTTATTATAGATATACGCAAACTACGTCAGGTGTGGCAAATAATGTGGGTCCGGTGGGTAATTGTACTCACACGAAAAATTGAAAAAGCTGAAGTTCGAACCCTAAGAAAGGACATTCGGTCTAATTATCCCGATCTTTGTGTGGTTAAATTATCTGACGTTTTAAATGTTTCTCGTAATAATAAATTTCAGAAAATATAGAAGAAAAAAGTGTTCAAATTGTTTCTGACCTTCAACTAAACGAACCTCAAATTCCGCGTCAATTTCAGAAGTTCAGAAACGTTTCAATCTGAAGAACGAGGGGTAGTTAATACGGATGAATTTAGGGCTCCGAATGATTTTTTTAGAAAATCCTTCTTTGATATGTTTGACCAACTGATTTCATCTCTGAAAAGTAGATTCAAAGAGGTAAAATGAGCAAGCAAATAACCTAAAGGAAGTTGTGGATTTTTTAAAAAAGTATGGAGTAGGGGGTTTATACCAGAATACGTTAGAT